TACACCAATAAAAACATATATTTCGTAAAACACTTTATACAAAACTCTCATCCATATCATCCAAACCTTCTTGCTTTTTCTCCTTGTCGTGATACACATGGTAGTGTTTCTCATCCCCGAACCGCAAACGCGGGGACCCGCTGTAGCGGCGATGTTGCGGCGGCGTCTCCCCGCCCATCTCTGGTTCCGGTCGGGCCAAGGAACCGCTAAAAGGCAGGTCGAAACGTCTATCCAGCGAGCGGTATTTGAGCAGCGCCTCTGCCTCGGCCCCGCGGGGCTTGCTGGGCCGCGGCAGCGAGCGGTAACCGCTTCCTTCGGGTCTGCGCGGGGGAGGGTCGTAGTGGCGGCCCACGGAAGCGCTTACACTCGGCGACTTCTTCATGCAGGAGATCGGTGGCGGCGAGCGAGGGATGAGCGGGTCGTACTCGTGGCTGACGGTGCGGGTAGGGAAGGTGAAGATGTGGCCAGGGGGCTCCCGGGTCGAGTCTCTGTCCCTGGCCAGGTCCCTGACAAGGTCTCTTTCCCTGGGAAGGTCCCGATCTCTGGCTAGATCTCTTTCTCTGGGCAGATCTCTGGGAAATAAATCCCTATCCCTGGGAAGGTCCCTATCCCTAGGAAGGTCCCTATCCCTAGGAAGGTCCCTATCCCTAGTAAGGTCCCTAACACTAGGAAGGTCCCTTACACTAGGAAGATCCCTTTCCCTAGGAAGGTCCCTTTCCCTGGGAAGGTCCCTTTCTCTAGGAAGGTCCCTTTCCCTGGGAAGTTCCCGTGCCAGGTCCCTAGACAAGTCTCGACCAAGATCCCTGGGCAAGTCCCGTCCCAGGTCCCTGGTGAGCTCGCGGGCGTAGGGGGTGGAGGCGACGAGAGCAGGGCCCCCGCCCCTGATGACACTGCGGGGGGAGCCGTAGGGCTCCCTCCCCAGGGTGCTGGAAGCGCCGGAGGGGAACTGGGGATCCAACAACTCCCCGGGGTCTCCCCGATCATCCAGGGACGACCTATGATACCTCCCCAGGGGCAGATCTCGCTCCCTTACTATGCTCGGTTCACGATCCCTTAATATGGGCGGTTCTCTGTCCCTACTCATGGGCGGGTCTGGATACCCGCCCATACCATCCACCCCACGACCCACGTGCAAGCCGTGCAGCGTATCGGAGTACGAGGCCCTGGGCACGTATAGGTTATGCGTCACAACATCCCCATTGGGGCCCTTTGGCGGTCCTCTCCTGCCCTGGTACATGGCGTCGTATGCGGTTCTCGGCACTTCATTTTTATTCACCAGAATGCCGCTCTGCGGCTTCGGCGGCTCCACGAAGAGCACCGTGCGTCCCTGCGAGCTCTTCCCGCCGTTGTCCGACCGACCGTTTTCTTTGATGATGGGCTGCAGCGGTCGTGTGGTTTGTCGGATGATGGGCTGCAGCGGGATGCTCTCCTTGGTGTGCGACACGTCCTTCGCCGCTAGCTGGGAGCCCTTGGAGAAGTGGTTGCCGCTGGCCGAGCCTTCCTTCCCCTCGGGCGACTTCTTCTGTGGGTCGAGAGAAAAAGGTGTTTAGGGATCTTTGCGGCGCCTGTGAAAGTGGATTATTTGGGACTCGCGCGCATGAAAGGGCGGGAAGGCAAGCGGGGAAAACGTGACATGATACACCCTAGAATATACACTCGTATACATACTAGTATATACATTAGTATACACATTAATATACACACATGTTTCCTGTTTTTTTACCATGGATGTGAGAGGGTAGCGAGCATGAAGGTGAAAATAAATAAATTAGAACTGTGGAAATAACCAATTTGTGAAGCATGTGGGCAAATAAAGTAATGGAAATACCAGAGAATTAACGAGTGATTAGAAAAAGTAGCCTACTTGCAAAAGTGTGGAAGCTGTACTGAAATGGATGAGTGACTAACTTAGAAAGAGAATGTATTCAAGCACACTGAACTGGTGGTAACAGCCACATAATAATTGCTCCCTGATTAGAAGAGATTTCAGAATTCTGGGAACACATTTGCATATTCAACTGCCAGAGAAGTGCCTCTAACACAAGGATAAATGTATCTAACACAAGATAAGTGCATCTAACACAAGGACAAGTGCATCTAACACAAGGTAAGTGTATCTAAGCTGTGTATATATGGGCACAACATGCACTGAACGTGAGCTTATGGGCTATTCATGCCCGTGCCACATTTTGGGTGGCTTACTCATCGTCAACCAATCTGAACGTAAGAGTATATTAGTATGTAGATATGTAGATAGAGCGTGTGTGTTGAAATGCCTTAGAAATATAGAAAATTATTTTTTGTGGAAATCATTTATAATTCATTATATACTTAATAATTAATAAACACAGTTATGAAATGTCATTAAAACACCATACAAGTTTACTTTGGCATACACACACACACACACACACACACACACACACACACACACACACACACACACACACACACATACACACACACACACAAAGAAGAAGAATGTCAACAAACATGGAAACGAACCCCATTTGTGTCTAACACAAATAGATTTGGGTCATTTACAAACACTTGTATGCTATAACATATACGTATATGTATATCTTTATTTATTTGAAGAACTCCACACACAGTGAAGAATTTTGGTGTCGGGATTAGATGAAAGTATAATTTTTGTACCATTACCAAAATAATAAACGCTATTTCACAGCTCATGTAAACTCGTTATAATTTTAATTGCTACTCTACTGCTAATTCCAAAAAATTATGCAAATGAAAATGATAAAACACTTTGTGCAAATAAAATTTTGGTTGATAAGTTTTCTTTGCTCCATTCCACCAGCTCTATGGATACATTATAAATGAAAGCAGTTTGGTCGTTGTAATAACGACTTTGCAACCAGTACTACGATTTGCTACATATTATTCCCCGTCTTATGAGGTAAGCATTTGTCTTGTGTTGTTCTTTGTCTGTCCGTTTGTCTCTCTGTTTCTTTTTCTCTTTATCTGTCTGTCTGTCTGTCCCCCATTCCCTTCCTTCCTCTCTCGCAATCTCATTCCACAACACACCTGGTTCTCCAATAGGATATCTCTGAGCAACTCGAGGCGACCGTCTCTCTGTCTGCCTGTCTGTCTGTCTGTCTGTATTCACCTAGTTGTGCTTGCGGGGGTTGAGCTCTGGCTCTTTGGTCCCGCCTCTCAACCGTCAATCAACAGGTGTACAGACTCCTGAGCCTATTGGGCTCTATCATATCTACACTTGAAACTGTGTATGGAGTCAGCCTCCACCACATCACTTCCTAATGCATTCCATTTGTCAACCTTCTGTCTGTCTGTCTGTCTGTCTGTCTGTCTGTCTGTCTGTCTGTCTGTCTGTCTGTCTGTCTGTCTGTCTGTCTCTCTCTCTCTCTCTCTCTCTCTCTCTCTCTCTCTCTCTCTCTCTCTCTCTCTCTCTCACCTGCTCCTCCCCCAGGATGTCTTTGGGGATCTCAGGGACGGTGCTGGAGGCCGTGAGTCTCACACACTTGTGGCTGGACTTGCGGAGTCGAAGCCTGAGGACGGTGACCACGATGATGACGACGACCACGATGCCGCCCACCCCGCCCACGAACATGATGATGGTGGAGAGCGACGGGGGCGAGTACTCACTACCTGCTTGAAGAGGGTGGAGACGGGGGGGACCCCAGTTGAAGCCACCGGAGTGGAGACGTTTGGGGAGAGGGGCGGTGTGGGAGGTTGGAGGGGGGGGGGGGGGGGGGGGAGAGGAGGGGGAGTGTCAAGGGTATGGGTGATTGTTTTGATGTGGGTAGTTTGGTGCATGTTTGGAAGCAAGACGAAGAGGGCGGTGGTGTGGGTGTGGGGGTGGTGTGGGGGTGGTGTGGGTAGTGGGTGTGGTGTGGGTAGTGCGTGTGGTGTGGGTAGTGGGTGTGGTGTGGGTAGTGGGTGAGGGGTGGGTAGTGGGTGTGGTGTGGGTAGTGGGTGTGGGTAGTGGGTGAGGGGTGGGTAGTGGGTGTGGGGGTGGGTAGTGGGTGTGGGGGTGGGTAGTGGGTGTGGTGTGGGTAGTTGGTGTGGATAGTGGGTGAGGGGTGGGTAGTGGGTGTGGGGGTGGGTAGTGGGTGTGGTGTGGGTAGTGGGGGTGGATAGTAGGTGTGGTGTGGGTAGTGGGTGGGTAGTGGGTGTAGGTAGTTGGTGTGGGTAGTGGGTGTGGGTAGTGGGTGTGGTGTGGGTGTGGTGTGGGTAGTGGGTGTGGTGTGGGTAGTGGGTGTAGGTAGTTGGTGTGGGTAGTGGGTGTGGGTAGTGGGTGCGGTGTGGGTGTGTATAGTAGGTGTGGGTAGTGGGTGTTCAGTGTAGGAACTAAACAGAGCCACACCCCCATAAGTATGAGGGGGACATTAATCTAGTAAGTAATGCCTATCAAAGCTAAGGACCGTCTGGTACCTTAACACCTCCAACACCACCAAACACACTTTAACTATATATATAAGTTTTAAATAAAATAAAATGACAATACACAATATATATAAATAGAGGATGGCAGGAGAAGATTTAAGTACAACATTTAAGTGTACACAGGTGCCCACAAGGCTGCCTCGGATGCCACATATCGTCTTCTTCGAGGCCGAGGGTCCCTACCTACAAATGTAACAAGAGGTGGTACCCCTATTTTATATATATATATATATATATATATATATATATATATATATATATATATATATATATATATATATATATATATATATATATATATGACATGAACATGTTACTGAAACAATAAAAATGAAGCTTAATTTGAACTGTCAATTAAGATGACCAAATTCCAGTTCAAAAGTTCTGGATAAATTCGACCTTTATAATATGGAGCCAAGACCGTAAACATGACACTGAAATTTGAGGTGATATTAGAATATACAAAAAGTAATAATTTGTTGATTATACTTTAATTACCATTGGGGACAGTAAGACTTTAGGACTTTAAGACTTTAAATATACAGAGTAATCTTATAAAATTTCAGACTGGGGTGATCTTGGGTTGACACTTTATTAGACGAGAGATTGAACAATTTGATCATTAATAGTTCACTCAATATATATTTAATGATTGAAGGCAAAACCTTCCTTAGAATTGACTTCCTTTGTTCCTCAAGGAGAAAATAAGATGGAACAACTAAGTTAAAACAATTATTCAAGTTAGAATTTGTATATATATATATATATATATATATATATATATATATATATATATATATATATATATATATATATATATATATATATGTATATATATATATATATATATATATATATATATATATATATATATGTGTGTGTGTGTGTGTGAAGAAGCTTGAATGGTCCCCAAGTCAATATGCAACTAAAAACTCCTCACCCCTGAAGGATTCGAACCTAGACAGCCAGGGGGGCTCCAACACACCTTAGCGTGTCCAATACTTTCACCACCACTAGGCTACAACGACTGTCAAAAAGAATCGGAAATCATACGACCCTTAACCCAATTCCCAAAAGCGATTGGAATAATATACGATTCGGTACAGCACATTTGCATTACATATTTCCTGAATTTGGGATGGAGGCGCCCGTACTGAGAAAGGACAGGCCGGAACGACACGGGTCTCTCTCTCTCTCTCTCCTTCAGACCATCTTTGCCGGTCTTTGGTCTTTGGTCTTTGGCCATCCCTATGCCAGCCGCACACAATATCGCTGCTCCTCTAGCCGGGATTCGGCCTTAGAGGCTTTCAGGCATAATCCCACGGCCGGCCGTACCCTCGCTCCACTGGCCGATGGACCGAGAAAGGAACCAGGCGTCCAGACTTGCCGCTTCTCTCGTACTGAGCACGACTGCTGCCGCGACGACACAGTTTAACACTAAGGGTAAAACTAACCTAACTCACGACGGTTTTTAAAGTAGTTTTCTGTTGCATATTGGCTTGGGGGACCATTCAAGCTTAATTTTTCATGACGGTAATTAACTTTTCTATTTCACATATAAGAAACGAGGTAAATATATGTAGGACACTGGGTAAAACATTATATGTGTCTCCATCTATCACTAATATATAATATTTTGGTATTTAAGAAAATCAGGATAAATAAATGCAACAAAAACCATCCGTTGGTAATTATTTAGAATTTGGAAATGAAGAATAAATGAATGAAAATGAAGAATAAATGAATGAAAATGAAGAATAAATGAATGAAAATGAAGAACAAATGAATGAAAATGAAGAACAAATGAATGAAAATGAAGAATAAATGAATGAAAATGAAGAATAAATGAATGAAAATGAAGAACAAATGAATGAAAATGAAGAACAAATGAATGAAAATGAAGAATAAATGAATAAAAATGAAGAATAAATGAATGAAAATGAAGAATAAATGAATGAAAATGAAGAACAAATGAATGAAAATGAAGAACAAATGAATGAAAATGAAGAATAAATGAATGAAAATGAAGAATAAATGAATGAAAATGAAGAATAAATGAATAAAAATGAAGAATAAATGAATGAAAATGAAGAATAATTGAATGAAAATGAAGAATAAATGAATAAAAATGAAGAATAAATGAATGAAAATGAAGAATAAACGAATGAAAATGAAGAATGAACATAAAAAGTTACTGTAAACAGACCAATTGCATCGCACACAAAGACCCTGAAAGCGGCCAAATAGGTTAAACCTGTCAAGCCCAACAGGCTCCTCTATTTTACCTCCGTCACCCCCCTTGCGTTAGTCCTTCGGGACGCTCCGTTTTCTATTGACAGTTCTCCCTTTCTCTGATTTTTTTTTTACTCTTTTTATTCTTCCTTGTATTATCTCTTTATTTATTTTATTGTTTTTATTCATTTTATTGTATTATCTTATTTTATTCTTCGTCCCTCGTTCGTCACTGCCTCTGTCATCCATGTTATTACTCTCAGAGTTCATATATTATCCTAGTTTTTTTCATTTGTTCCTCCTTTATTGCTCTTTATTTATCTTCCTCGTTCCTTTATTATTCTTTGGTTTTCTACTTCCTCAGTCCAATTTCTCCTCTCCCCCTCTTCCTCCTTCTCAGCTATTCTTTTACTAATTTTATTGCTCTCTTCTTCTATTCCTATTACTCCCTTCTCTCCATGTATAGTAATTTAAAAGAAAAGAGGTTTTGGGGTGGAGTATTTGGAAGATTCGCAACGAGTAGGCCTTGTCGAGAACCGGGCCGCGGGGACGTTGAGCCCCGAAATCATCGCACTAGTTAACCGTAGACATAATTCCAATTCTACCACCAGAGACACACACGAATCGGGTGACATTGGCGGCATATGCGACGCCGGCAAACATTAGCGCGGCATTAAAATAATGAATAAGGGTGCTTTTCAGGCACAGTATACAACCTATGTCAGACCGATACTGGATTATGCAGCACCGTCGTAGAAGCACAACACGAAAAAAAATGGAAGAGGAGAGGTGTGTGTAACAAGAATAGTGGCAGAAGAGAGGGTGGGTTAAGCTACGAGGCTTAGGAAACAATCTCACAGCCTGAAATGAGAAGAGACCAAGGGGGACATGATCACTACATACATGATAATGACGGGGGATTATAGCACGAGGTAGACAAGGACAGTCTCCTTGACGGGACATGTTGAGACAGGCCTCACTTTCCGCCCTAGTCACAGTTAGCTAATCACTAGTAGGTAGTCACTATTAGGCAGTCGAGATAAGTATCTCGCCTCCTCTTCCTCCTCCTCTTCCTCCTTTTCCTCTTCCTCCTCCTCCTCTCCCTCCTCCTCCTCCTCTCCCTTCCGTCATGTAGTGAAGAAGAGGGAGACCAATACGTCCTCCATCACCCCACCGACACCCAATCTCCGCTCCGCTTCCTTCCAATCACCTTCCTTCTTCCTTCTCCTGCTGCTCCTCCTGCTGCTGCTCCTCCTGCTGCTGCTCCTCCTGCTGCTCCTTCTGCTGCTCCTCCTGCTGCTCCTCCTTCTCTAGCCCCAGTTCTTCTCCTCCACAACTTGCTAGGGGTTTTCACTCTCCATTTTCTTTTATTTTCCCCTATTTTGTCTTTATCTTTAAGTTCTCTCCTATTACCATTAACACACACCCTTGTGCTTCTTTACTCACCTCTTGTGGCTCTTTACTCACCTCTTGTGGCTCTTTACTCACCTCTTGTGGCTCTTTACTCACCTTTTCCGCTTGTCTACTCACCTCTTGTGCCTCTTTACTCACCTCTTGTGGCTCTTTACTCACCTTTTCTGCTTGTCTACTCACCTCTTGTGCCTCTCTACTCACCTCTTGAAGGGTCACACTCACTCACTCACCACCCAGCCTATATATACACTTCAGTCCTCAATCTACCTCAAGGCTAAAATAAACTCTCAATGTATATACACCGAGAAGTTGAGTATATATATGGCGTATATACACCCCCCCACACACATGTTAATTCCACACCCGTCTACACCTGCCCCTCACACACACACACACACACAAACAGAGTGGTAGACGGTTGGAACAAGTTAGGGGAGAAGGTGGTGGAGGCCAAGACCGTCAGTAGTTTCAAAGCGTTATATGACAAAGAGTGCTGGGAAGACGGGACACCACGAGCGTAGCTCTCATCCTGTAACTACACTTAGGTAATTACACACACACACACACACACACACCCGCCCAACACCTGTTTTAGGGAACTCACGCATACGGTTCTCAGCTGTCTTGAAGGTGAAAGCTTCGACGAGGCGGAAGGGGCTGTTGCCGTAGGAGGTGTGGGCGGAGATGTAGACCACGTAGTCTTGCCCGGGCGTCAACCCGCGGACCACGAACCTGAGGGAGAGATAAACAAAAATTATGGAACGGGTGAAGCGAGTGGGAGCGCTGTCTTGGCGCATGGCGGCGCGCATCTCAGAAGACCAACGTCCAGATGCACGACGCAGTTACGCATGTACTTGCGAACGTGTACATCTTTCCTCAATTTTTGACGGCTTTGGTTACATTTATTTAACAGATTACGAGCGTGAAAACTTGCCAATCAGCTGTTGTTATTGTTATAAACAGCCTCCTGGGGCTTCGGAGCTCATTAACTGTTTATTAATTGTAAACAAAATCGCCAAATATTGAGAAAAGATGTATAGGTTCGTAAATGCTTGAGTAACTGCTTCGTGAATCTGGGCCCAAGTCGATATACGTGATCCAACAACCCGTTGGATCACAAATATATAAAACGTTGTATTTTGACGCATACTCAACAGCCTAAAAAAAAATCGTTGTAGTAGAAAATGGCTTCGCCAAATTGACATACTGTCCCGTTTTCTGTTTTGGGTCCTCTGGTAGGTTAGGAGGACAGACTAATATATCATTAGTGTGCGGTCCGCTATACATTAGTCTTGGGAGGCACAAGGGAATCTTACCTTAACGTTACGTATCAATGAGAAAATCAGTAGGAGCCGTGAGCAGGATTCGAACCTATGCTAAATAATTCTTTATTTAGCTCTTTCCTTTTTAAGACTACTCAATAGCTCGGTTGATAGAGCTTCGGCCTCAGAGCCGGAGGGGTCAGCGGTTAGAATCTCCTACAGCCCAGGTGAATGCAACCTATGCTAATGGCTCCTGTTGACTACCTCACACCGCTCTTTGTCCTGCCCAGCCTCTTAAAATGAAAGTACTTATAGTAGCGATGCGGTGGAAAGTACCAATATGTCGTGATGGACCACCAGAAAGTACCAATATGTCGTGATGGACCACCAGAAAGTACCAATATGTCGTGATGGACCACCAGAAAGTACCAATATGTCGTGATGGACCACCAGAAAGTACCAATATGTCGTGATGGACCACCAGAAAATACCAATATGTCTCGATGGACCACTAGAAAGTACCAATATGTCATGATGGACCACCAGAAAGTACCAATATGTCATGATAGACCACCAGAAAGTACCAATATGTCATGATAGACCACCAGAAAGTACCAATATGTCGTGATGGACCACTAGAAAGTACCAATATGTCATGATGGACCACCAGAAAGTACCAATATGTCGTGATAGACCACCAGAAAATACCAATATGTCATGATGGACCACCAGAAAGTACCAATATGTCGTGATGGACCACCAGAAAGTACCAATATGTCGTGATGGACCACCAGAAAGTACCAATATGTCGTGATGGACCACCAGAAAGTACCAATATGTCATGATGGACCACTAGAAAGTACCAATATGTCATGATGGACCACCAGAAAGTACCAATATGTCGTGATGGACCACTAGAAAGTACCAATATGTCGTGATGGACCACTAGAAAGTACCAATATGTCGTGATGGACCACTAGAAAGTAGACTTTTGTAGTACTGAATTTGAACAAACTGGAAACTTTGTTAAAATTTTATTAGTAACATAAATATAAGCCCTAACCTAACCTAACCTAACCTAACCTAACCTAACCTAACCTAACCTAACCTAACCTAACCTGACCTCCCCTAGCAATCCTGGGAGAAGCTAATACTAGACATATTAGACACATATTAGTAATATTAGACACAAGCTAATACATATATAGAGCTATATACTAGGCCTAGGAATATTTAAATTAGTTTTTTCAGCGTGATTTTATTTTCCCAGACATTATAAAAGTAACAGTACAAAAAGTGAACTATTGGAGCTCCCTTGGTACTCTCGACCCAAGAATTACCGTAAGAAAAAATCGACAAGGGCCGTGATGAGGGTTCGAACTTACGTCTGGGATGATCCCAGGCCCTTGTGGATTTATTCATTTGATGCATCAGGCTATTGTGATACCTGTGTGTACCGTAAGAGCTTACCATTTCAGGAGGATAGCTTACATAACTCCATCGAAGACATTCATCTCGTTAGGCTCGCCTGACTGACAAGTCAAGCTCAGTGGCTCCAGCTCAAAGCCCTCAACACACACACACATATACGCATACATAAACACACACACACACACACACACACACACACACACACACACACACACACACACACACATATACGCATACACACCTCAAAGGGATACATCAGAATACATCGTATCATGTTATATCATCTCACATTACTGGCCTCCGCTCCTCAAGGGGATGAGGGATAATGGCATGCGCCTCTCAGAGGAGTACACTTAGATGCGTCTCAGGTGAGAGGAAGATTGAGATGAGTACGGGTATACGCATCTCGTGACAGCACTAAGACATGATCCTGATATGTCAATTAATTATGCCATAATTGATGAATTATGAATTATTAATCAATTCCCATCACCAGAGGAGCAGCCAAATGAGGAACTAAAACCTATTAGATCATTTTGGGTATAGCGAAGTATACTAAAAACATATTACTAATATATCTCTCAAACTATTTCCATTGTCAGGTGGGAAGTAAATAAAGTAGTTGGGGAAAATAAATGTCAAGTATTGGGCCTTAAAAGTGATACAACTTTAAGGAGGTTTTAAGGAAGTATTTTAAGGATATTCGTAAGGAAAAATTAAGCCCACGTGTCTACACAACACCCAAGAGGTGTATTAAACAATTAGCAGGAATCTTATAATTCATTTGAATGAGTTTATGCCACTTGTGTAACGACGGGAATGAGCTAAACTTATATTAAGATGAAGCAGAAATAACAGATGACATTGCAGTAGGTCTTATGGTGGGTGACATGCCTTAGGCACCACCACAGATCAACACCAGTCATATACAAGGCCATATATATATATATATATATATATATATATATATATATATATATATATATATATATATATATATATATATATATAATATATACTATACATATAATATATATACATATATATTATAAATATAATCAGATAAATTATTGGAACAGGACGAGGATCGAACAAACATCCCGGGTATTCCCAGACACACGACTTATAGCCCCATAAGCTTGTAGTGGTCCACGGGTTCAAGGTGTGTGTCTGGGGTTACCCAGGACGTTCGTTCGAACCCCCGTTTCTGTCCAATGATCTCAACACCCATTGTGAATGGTCCACTGGTCAGAATATATGAGTTTACTAGAACCTTGCTGGTTGGTCAGTGCTAACCAATCATCGTCCAGCGTTGGTTAGACCTTACGACCGTATCATATCGTTCCCCCTGAACCACACCCACTTCATTATTCATATCTGCTATAACGATGATTCGATTACCGCGTTTCTTGCAGGCCGGCGTTCGATCCCCGACGGTCAAAGTGGTTGCGTACCGTTCGTTCACACACCCCCATGACTCTCTCTCAGTTCGTATGCTGGCCTGATATCTCTCTTCCACGAGATATCTCTCTTCCATGAGATATCTCACTCCCCATGAGTGAGATTGACTCCCTTGACACTCTTGTCAGCATCTCTCATTGCTCTTAATATTCTCCCGTATATCAGCTCTTGATATCATGATATCTTGATATTATGATATCTTGATATCATGATATCTTTCTTGATATCTTTCAATCTTTCCACCTTTAATTGCTCTTTATGTAGTCCCACACATTGCGTCTCCAGGGTCTGAGTGTACACACACACACACACACACACACACACACACACACACACACACACACACACACACACACACAAACACACACATCCACACACAGCAGTACACACACACACACGCAAACATAAACACCGAGCCAACGATTTATCTCGTTTCCTCCCTCGTTTACAGCCCAACAACCAACAGCGTGCCGTGACCTGGTTGGCTGTGACCCCTTATGACCTCTGGGCCAGCACCCTCAGCAAGATTTACTAGTCTCTACAGACCAGCGAGTGAGCGTCCACAGGACATAATAACACGATCGTCTGAACCTCGCCCGGCCGGAGACTGTGTGTGGCTAGTGTGACATCTGTGGACTCCCAGTGCATCTGGTGTGAGACTTCACTTGGGTGCTGTGGTGGAATGACAAACGGTGATGCTGTGGTGGATGCTGTGGTGCACTGTGGATGATATAACAGGATGCTGCGGGCTGATATACATGGTAGGAAGCTGTGGTTGAATATAGCTGTGAAAGACTCTTTGAGACTTTTGAGTCTGTGTGAATTTAGCAAAGGTTGTGGGAGATGGCAGCTTCATTTACTAGTCTATGAGGCTGTCTGGCCTTAGAGCCCCGAAGGCTCTATACAGCCATCACAGTCTGGTTGATCCGGAAACTCTATAAACACAAACTTGTCCCCTGTTCACTCTCGAAAACTTCCTCCGTTGTTCTATCGACATTTCTTATATTTATTGAGAGGAGATTGAAAAGTCGTAGGCCTATGATGTTAAGGTTTGACTCTCTTAATTGTGTGCCTGAAACTTCGTGTGTATTAGTGGCTTTAGGCATTGTATTTGTCTTACCTTGGAACCCTATACTGTTGTTGTATTTTTGTATGAATGTATGTACATATATTTTACACTACTGATCCTGTTTCATTATATTTGTGTTTATAAATACACAATTTATGTTCTTGTTTACGTTCGTTCTTCTCATTTTCTTCTGACTTTCTCAATCTTGCTTTGTTCTTCCTTTCACCTCTCTTCCCCTTCCCTCCTCTCTCCCTCTTTACCCTCCTTCCCTCCCTCCGGCAATTTCTTAATTTCCCCTCCTTCATTCTACCCGTCTTATAATTTTCCTTGGTAATTTCTCCCTTCCTCCAATTTTTCCCTCCCTCATTCCCCCCCTCCCTCTTTCTTACCCCTCCCCCTCTCTCTTCCCCTTTCTCCCCCCCCCCCTCCGTCTCAACCATGATAATCGCTGAAGCAATCTGAGCTGGGCTACAGCCCCTCTGACATAGACCCCTGAGGGAATCATGGCT